GGGGAGTACCGCAAGTCGGTTTCGGTTTCGCTTTCGTTGAAGAAGAGTCGATGCAGGGCCACTTGGTGCGATATAGCGGGGTATCCGATTGCCCGATACTTTCCTTTCAATGTGTTTTTTCGAGTATCGAGTAAGGAAAGCAGCAAGCGCTTACATTTCGCCTCGATTTCCTCGTCGTCGAGCAGCAATGAGACCACCTCCTTCGGCTTTAACGTATCCGGCTTAAAGTTACCGCCACTAATGACCATACGTTGAATCTGAAATGCAAAGGTGAATTGTTCATAGCCGTTGACGCGCTTTGCCGACTCGCCATTCTAGCCAAGTGGATGAGCCGAACCTCGCTTTTCTCGCGGGCGCGTTGCAGAATTCGCTCTTCGATGGTGCCCTTGCAGATGAGCCGATATACCGTCACCTGCTTCGTCTGGCCCAATCTGTGTGCCCGGTCCATTGCCTGCTGGTCCACGGTTGGGTTCCAGTCGCTGTCGTAGAATATCACCTGCGGGTCAAATTTCATTACTCTGGTGCGGCACAGCTAGCGTCGCTAGTTACAAGCGACTCGCTAATGCGCGCTGCCGCGACTTGCGTTTCGTTAACGAGCGTCTACGAAATTTTAAGGTCTTGGTCGATAACCCGAAGGCACGTACCGTGTCCGCAGCCGTCAAGTTGATTCCCAAGCCTCCAGCTCTGGTGCTCAGTAGAAAGACAAATATATCCGTCCTGAAATGCAGACGATTACGATCTTTTTTCTTTCGTGCGTTTGGCAACGCTGCACATTTCAGCGCTTTTTTTAAGCATATGTAATATGTAATTTTTTCACATTGCAGCTTATTCGCGAAGATCGTTCTTCGCTACTCTATCTACTCTTATCATTCGCGATGCCATGAGAATGCCACGAGAAACACCGTACATTTGGCATTCCGAATAATTTCATTACGTGCACAGTTTGTTGCGTATACGTAATAATTGACACGCGCACTGCCATTGTTAAATTTAAATATTCTCAAGATAATTAATAATAAAAAAATAAATAAATAATCGTTATACGATTCGTTGTTATTTTTAATACAATGAGGAGATCGATCGATAAGTATTATTACCTTTTTTGAAAATCGGCAACCATATCACGACGATCGGAAATTTTTGAGGAACCATCTAATCTCATAAACGTATGTTTTCGGTGATACATATACTCCTATAGAAAGAGCCAATACATTTTTAATTGCTCGTGGGTGTGTGAATGTTGATTTTATAATTGCTTACAAACCTCTAATAAATCTATCATTTTAGTCATTTGTGAATATATTAAAACGCGATGACCTTGTTCTTTGAGCCGTTTCAGGAGATTGTCAAGTACGGATAACTTTCCCGCATCAGTCACTAAAGTTTGCTTATCTACAAATTAAGTGAATATCAAAACAAATAGAGAAATAGAGTGATAAATAAATAAGTAAACAAATAAATAAATAAACCAACGAGCAAACGATGAAAAAAGGATTAAATCTAATGAATGTACAAATACACTCTAAGGGTATCGTATAAATGGTCGATTATGAGGCTTCGCGCCCCTTAATTTATTCACAATAAAATCTTTCCTTTTTAATCCAATCATTTATTCGACAAGTATATAAGTTTAGTTTTATATAAAATATAGATAAGTTTAATTCATAGCCTCAACTACAAATATAAATCTAAGTAATGTCGATCGGTAATGATAAAAGGACATTTTACCACTATTTTAGAAATACATAAAATTGAGTTATTATATTTTTTAAAAGTTATTTGATTTAAGCTCTGATTATTAGACGAAAACGAAAACAAAACAAAAAACAAAACAAAAAAAAAACAATAAAAATTATTTCTACAATTTAATTATGTCGTCAATTAAGAAAGAAACTTTGTGCATGGCCTTATATTTTATAAATATCTTCATTTCACAAATTATAATACTCCAATAGCATAACATAACACATATAAGCAAAATAGATAATTAACTATATAACAATTATTGAATCATTATACTCGACTTTTTTAAACAATTATTCTTGTATTATAACTGACATTCAATGCCGTGCTAAATAATTTTATACCATTTAAATCATTGCACCATTATAGAAACAATGTATTAACGAGCTTCGTTTAAAAAAAAAAAAAAAAAAAATTAATAATTTTAATGATCGAATGAATTTGCAAATACATAAGGATGCTGATATTTCGAATTTCATGCAATGAATATTCCTTTTAACGCTCAAATGATCGGATCGCATTTTATTTTATCGTTACCTGGTACTATAATATTCGACCATCCATTCATTGGGCGACAAGCGGCCAAACCTCCGACATGTTGATATGAAAATTGCGTTGGTAGTGTTGCACGTACATGAATACGATTTTGCGGTAAGCTCTGAGCTAAATCACAACCGAGCCATAATATTCTTTTGCCGCTTAAGCCACCACACTCCTCGTGCATCTGCCAAGCACGCGACGCGGCACAATGGCTAATGTAAACCTTCCTCGAGGTAGCTAGGACCTGTAAAATACAAGTGTCCAAATTCGGATAAGAGAGCGGATGCGTTCTAACGCATAAAATAAGTTTAAAAAATTACGACTTTACGAAATGATTGGTACGTTCAAAGTATTATAATGACATTAAACAATTGTCGTAAAGATGATTATTATTAACAGCTGCGATAAGCTTGTGCTACTTGTGATCTATAATTTGATATAACGTAATCGTAATTTTTTAAAAAGATATGCGCACCTTCGGTATCTTATCGCAGAGAAATGCCGGTAATGATATTTGCTGGCAATGCCTTAGGATTGGTGTCCTTGGCGTATGCGGATGCTCGGGCAATAGCGGAACTTTCAATTCTTCGCCTTGCTCTATCTTTACGGAACAAATAGATCTTTGAAGCTTTATCGATTGATTGGCTTTCTTACTGCTACGAAGTATACGATGAGCGACAGTTTCCGGCATCGAATTAATCGAATGAGTTGCGTGCGTATACACGGCATCTCCGTACAAAATGCTTCTCGTAAATATTAAGTCGTTAGCCATTTGAGAAGATGTATTGAATTTTTCTGTCAGAAGCCACATAATATTAGAAGATATGGAGCCCTGTTCCAACCAATCTTCCAAATGTCGCTTAACATTCATAACTTTTATATGCTGCGCTAAATGGCCTAACCTGTTCATATGAATACAAAGGATTTTCATGTTTAATAATGATAGCCTACATGTATTTATACGTACGTATATTTTTATTAAATTTCCACAGCCATATTACCTGAATAATATTCCAGTAATGAAAATACTATTTAATTCCATTGGCGATAAATTGATAAATCGAGCGAACGAGAAGCAGCATGTGTTTGAGCCGTCGTTATCACCACATAATGCTCGATAAATGTATTCGGTAGCAAATATAAAAAATTTATTATACAACAGATGCTCTTTGGACGATACAGTCGAGTTCATAATGTCCTCTTTATATAATAATGATGGTAATTCTAAAAGTTCCGTGCGCATGAAGTATGGTGACTTTGCATCTCGGCGTTCAAAAAGTTCTGGATGATTGCAAACCTGCAATTATATTATTATTCGTTATAATGGATTTTATAATTTTTATAATAATTTCAGGTAAAACTGATAGGTTGGCATTACTTTACGAAATTGCATGACTAGATTCATTAAATTCGAAGTAAAATTTTTATCATTGGTTGCGCTATCACCAACCGAATAATGAAGTAAATCCTCTATTCTAATTTTCTTTTTCAATGCTAAAACAACAAAAGGGATAGATTATTTATTATCCGTTCGAAGGGTGCGCGCGCCTGTAAATTAAAATAACAATATCGATACCCGTGTAAAGTAATTTTTGTCTTGTTGTAAGCGGACAATAAACCATTACTTCAATTTTATCGGATAATTCATTTTCTACGTCCTTTTTTATTCTTCGCAACATAAATGGTTTTAAGATCATATGAAGCCTTGACAAGTGTTCTAAATCAAGTATATTAATACAATTAATACAATTATCAATGAATTATTACCACTAGGCAGAACAATTTATTCTACGCATACTTTCATCGATTCCAGTTTTATTTTCAGCATGACTTTCGATATCTTTGGAAAACCATTCGTTAAATTCATCGTGGGAATCGAATAAGGTAGGCATAATAAAGTGAAGAAGGGCCCATAACTCGGCCATGCTATTTTGAATTGGCGTGCCACTGAGCAGTAGACGATTGCGACAACTAAATCCCAATAAAAGTTTCCATCTCATACTGAAATTACATTTTAATAAAATTATCTCCACAATGTGCGTTTGTTTAATTCAAAGGAACAACGAATTATCAGGAAAGTCTACCTGCTAGTACTTTTAATCGCCTGTGCTTCATCAAGAATCATATACTGCCACTTAATTCTGTTAAAGTATTTATAATCTGTTATAACTAATTGATAACTCGTGATTACGACGTGAAACGATGCCTCCTTTGTATGTAGATCCTTGGTGTCCCAAAACTGGCGTAAAATTTTCCGCTCTTGAGGATTACCCCAATAGGGTACGACTTTAAACACCGGCACGAATCGTGCCATCTCTTGTTGCCAATTGTGCAACGTAGAAGCGGGCGAGATGATTAAAAATGGTCCCCACACAGCTACAATTCACAACAATTATATAACAACAATATTCCAATCATTATCGTAATTATTCTAATTATCGGCTTACAGTATTTCTCAGCAATGTGACATAAAAAAGCTATGGACTGAACGGTTTTGCCTAAGCCCATTTCATCAGCTAAAATACCACTAATGCCCTACGGAGGATATAATTGTTGAGAAAAGTTTAATTCAACGATTCGTCGTAAGGAATTAATCATACCTGATCGTAGAGATTTGCTAGCCAATTCATGCCTTTTAATTGATAACCTTTTAAATTTCCTTTGAAAATTGACGGTTGAGGGTGTTCTAACGTTTCTGGAGTATCACTTAAGCGTAATTCCTGATTAGTTGCTGGATCGAATTGACGAGTTCTCGCCTTTTCGTTATCAAATGCATCTATTGCATTTTTTTTCGCCTTTTGCTTCATGGCTTCGCTGTATAATGGTGAAAGAAAAGCAAAAGGAAGAAAGTACATTAAAATATACATACATACATACATACATTAAAGTGTCGAAACACAAAATTTATGGACGTGCAAATACAGCAAGACGAACCTATCGTAATCATCGATGCTGGCAAGTCTTGGATTTTTTTCTTCATCCAGTTGATTTAAAATCCGTAACTGCTCTTCGGGAGAAGCCTTGCCTAATTTTCTTGACATGAAATGAGCATAGAGCTCGGTCTGCGTAATTAAAAAATTTAACTTTCTCTGCTGGCGTTTTGCTTCAATCAATTCAACGTCCATTTTACGTTGCTCTTCTGCTTCTTTTTCCAATCTTCTTCTGGTTTCTCTCTCCACGCGATCATATCGTTTCCAATAAGATTGCATTTCCCTAGTCAATCTCTTTGCTCTCCATATCGTTTCTTTCATATTTTTCTGAGACTGACGAAAACATAATAAACAAAATTTACGATAAAAACACTGATATATGATTGGATGATCTTTCGCTGATGAAGAAGCTCGAATACTTACTTGCATAGCTTTTTGCCTCCAATATTTCATACAGTGTTGGGCCACCTTTTTGCAACTGATAAGCATTTCCTTATGATTATTAGTTTTGGCCCTCTGAACCTTACCAAGCTCTTTCTTCGACATCATTACCCAAATTTTACGTCTCCGAATGGCCATCACCTCTGGACTTTTATTATTATGCTTTTTCCTTCCACGGCCTCGCGGTTGATGTTTTAAAACTAATTCTAATTCTGAGTCATCTAAATGATCTTGTGTCTTCCCTTTATCCCAATTCTCGTCAGGATATTTTTGCTAATGAAAAAAAAATCATTATTAATCCACTGACACTCAAGATACCAAACATACGTACGATAAATTACCTTGCCATCGTGGGAAACCTTATGGTGTGTAACTCTTTCTTTTTTCATTTTTACTACTTTCTTTTCTGGTTTCTTCTCTTTTTTCTTTTTATTTCCTACGATAAGTTTCTGATGTTCTAAAAATCTGTCATAATTTGACAATAATCCTGCTCCATAATACTGATACTGTATGTTCTTTATATTGGGAGAAAAAAGAAATTATGTTAAATTAATAATTAACAAATGTTATTATAATTTATGATAGTAAGGGGCAGAGAGAGAGAGAGAGAGAGAGAGAGAGAGAGAGAGAGAGAGAGTGATAGAGAGGGAGAGATAGAGACGTGTAATTATTTACCTCTGGCTTCTGATAGAAACGGGCCTGATATTTCTTCCTCAACATATGAAATTTTAACATATTTTGAAAATCCTCTTCTGTTATAGATCCATCCGTGTCCGAGCCCGAAGAAGTATCGGTTCCATCGCTTAACAAAATATCTTGTAACCAGTGTCTTTCTTCTCCAACGTTACTCATATTATACAAACGTAGCTTATTGTTTCTTTTTTCTTGAGAAAGAAATTAGGATTAAAAAATTACATGCAATTCTCTATTAAAATTAAGACATTTAGACGTTATTTAGATTTATTAAACAAACCATCTTTCTGCGATATTAACTCATTGATATCCGTTTCCGACTCTGCAGACTCGTCTTCGGAGGACTCATCTTCGTCGCTGTAAACATCAATTCAACGCACGCACACAATAATTTACAGGCTGATAAAATTATTAACAATTTGTATTATGATAAAATAATCAATACCTGATTTGCTCTTGAAAAAGGTCGTTAACTTGACTTAAAAAAGGCTGTATATTTAAACTGCGCTCCAGTCGCTGTAAATGCAACGGAGCAGCCATCTCTGCTTCTAATCCCATCGCTCGAGTTCGGTCAGTCATAACAGTTTCAAAATCTTTAAAACAACATTCTTCGTTAATACTTCAAAAAAAAAATATCCTTAAATAAGCAATAATGTGAAAAAGCATGATAAAGAAAAACTTAATGGTCATAATACATAAAGTACACCAACAATGTGTGATAAAAGAGCTCGCTGAAAAATTCAACTAAATTAAACGAAAATAAAAGAATAATATAGTGGATAGTGGAGAACATGCACGTGATGGTACGAGGAGTATTGTAATGCCTATTGCCGTCAGACTAAAGAAAAAAATGAACCATTTCTAAGCGTGCTATGCTGTGAGCTACTGTAATCTCATTGGATTTTCCATTATGTAAGGCGAAAGGCAAAATAAATAACAGACGCCACGAACGTTTTAACTTCACGTTTATATATTGGACTGTAATGTGAAAATCACCTTTCGGCTTGGTTACGAAAGAGCCGCGTTTTATTTAACCAGATATGTAGGCGCGGTCGCAGCAAAACGCGCTGTCCTCCGAGTCACATCGAAATGGGATATACCGCCGGACGGGAAATACATAATACGAACAGGAGCTTCAACAACGCAAGCATTTGGCGTGCCATAAAAGCAGGGCAGGGATAGGGCATATTGTTAGCCACCATATTTGTTTTCAGTAGATGGCGCTGCCGCTGCGGTTCGGTGCTGTCGCCGCGAAAATTGCGTTCCATCGTTTCCGTTTTCCAGCTCTGCCGATCTTAGGACGTGCTCGTGCGGCTTGTTTCCCTTCTTCATCGCTCGTCAATTGCCATTCGATTTTGATTCGATGCAGCGCATTTCCGCATTTCACTTGTTTCAATTTCTAGCTAAACCAACTCATCAATCGGCCTTACGTACCATTGCGTTGCAAGTTTGTAAATGATCGTTCCTTCGGCCCCGTAGAAGATTCTCATTTACTTTGCCTATTCGATCAATCAAGTTGGAATGTAATAATAAATTTGATTTCCACGAGCAATTATGAATCGTCGGGTCGAATTACGTATTAATCGAATATTATCTACTTACAAGTCTTTTATGCCAAACAAAATTCACTTATGCTGCCTTAATTGCATTGTTAATTATTGAAAATAGCGGCAATTATTACTCGTTCGATTACCTACAACATTCATTATAAATATCTGAAGTTGTTGGTTGTGCAATGTAGTTGGCAATGTAAAATTTTTCGATTGTATTACATTTTTCATTACAACGTGCTCGATATTTTATCGGAAACTACGTGCATTTTCATGGCGGATTCGTGAATTTGATCTTATAAATAAAGTCGTAAAATTATGGCCTTCCGGTACCAATTAATTAACAAACGGCAGTTTACTCAAACGTTATTGTAACTAGGAAACATTTCAAAGAGCGAGGTTACAAAAACAACAACAAAACTTTTTGTTTTTATAAAATATACGTCTCATTAGAGGAGGTATTCATTTTTGTTACATAATTTACTAGATAATTAAAATCAATTAAGCAATATAACGAACGATAAATTCGAATCGAAGAAGTCAATTACAATATGAATGCGGACTTGGCTACGTTTCAATAAATTATAATTGTAAAATTCTCGACGCACTTAATTCGAGCTGTTAAAGGAAATGAAAAAAAAATTTTTTTGTTTTCATAATAAAGAAATGTGTTAAAATTATTCAGAAATACTTCATTGTAATTCATTTATTATTACTTTGAAGCATTACAAAACAAAAAACTTACAATAAATTTTTAATATTTCTCACTTGTTTATTTTATGCATATATACATTCTGCATAATACAAATGACACACACACACGTACACACACGCACACACACACACACATATATATATATATATACTACATCCTGTTTCTTACCTGTAAACAAAAATACAGTATTTTATTTTTTATTTGAATATGTGGAAAAGAAATTTTGTATTTATTAAACAACTTACATAGTTATTTTTAAGTAGTTTAATTATAGTCATATAATAGCTTGAACAAATAGATGATAAATTTCTAAAAGTTATTATTCGTGGCTATTTTATTGTTGCTTTTTACGTACACGACTCTTAAAACCGAGAGGAAAGACATCGATGTTTTCAGTATCTATATACAGAATTGAAAGAAAATTTGTATTTTTATTGGTGGACTTACGCATATGTGGGAATTAATTTTTTTTTTTTCTATACTTTTATGAAATTATGTTTATTTTCCTCAAAATTTTTAATAAAAAATTCGAAAAATTACGTCATTGAATATTTTAAAATTCAAGTTAAAAACAGGAGGAAATATTCGATTGGCGCGCTCCTAGCGTCCAACATTCAAACCATATCGACAAATTGAAAATAGAGAAAATTGAAGAGAATCGGCGGGTGCGTAAGAACATAAACGTACAAAAATTTTAGATTCATAATGTGACTAATATAAGTGAACAAAACGCTTGTATTCTGATAAAATATTCTCTTGACATCGACTAAAAACACAACTAATGAGGTAATATTAGAAAGTTTTTGTGCGGCAACATACTTACATTTAATACATTAAAATATCTATCGTATATATCAAATTCAACGTTCTAGAAAATTGTTAATTCTTTTTAATGAAAAAATATTAAGGAAGAAATTTATGATTTTAAATTTGCTCAACATTAAATACCTTTAATCCTTTAATTGTCATGCAAATAGCCAGATTAAAAAAAAAATACTTTGTAAAAATTCTGGTATAAAGAAACTAATAATTCACTGTCCATTTATCTGATAAGTAGAAAATTTAACAAATATTATTTTCATGTTTCATTAATACTTTAAGCACGTAATATATAATTTTCTATGTCAAAACTAAATGTATGCATTAGAATCACATACTTTTACTTCATTTATATTTCTAATAAATAAACAATGTAATACAGTTGTTTAAATATATTCAATTATATATTATAAATAATCTTTTAAAACAATGCTATATTTTAACAATTTATTGACGATAGTTTCAAAATAAGTAGATACAAATTTTTTCTAATAAAAGCTATTAGATAATTTATTGTACATATGTTTCATGATTAAAATCCCTGTTACCCCCCCCCCCCCACACTCGATCGCCGGCCGCCACGTAAAGTTCAATTAAATACTCATATCTTAAGAATATAATTTATAATAGTTTATAAAAGTTGTTAAGCCTCTGTGTCTTATATATTTTTTATGTAAATTATTGTAATGCTGCTTCGCAAAGGGAAATAAATACGCATCGGCTGTCTGAAACGAAAAATTTATCGTTTTTCACTTATAAATCATACAACTAATACAAGATATAATAATCGTAGTATTTCATTTATGTTTCAATATTCCTAATGTTCTCTCCTGTGTCCGCATACGGATATATATATATATATATATATATATATAAACAAATAAAAAAAAACAGCTTAAACATTACCGTAATTGGTATACCGTAATTGGGCTCTGGATGTTACAAAGACTAATCGTTACAGTTATTTTCTTATTCTTACTTAATTCTTATTATTACTTATTTTATACCTACACACGCGCATACACACACACACATACACACACACACACACCCATATTCGCGCGCGTGTGTTTGTGTGCGCGTGTACGTTAAAATGGTCTGGCATCTGTCTAGCATGATATTGCTTTTTTAAAATTGTATTCAAATGATGAGAATTTCTAGATAGTCTCTTAATTACTTATTTTCGTGGTAACCATAAAACAGAGAGATTTTACTCTATAAATGGAAATAACAATTCATTATCCCTAATACTTGATAATTTAGTAATCATTTAATCTTCATTCTAGTTTTGTTTTCATAGCACAACATCTATTTTATCTCATAATGATTATTGGGATAATGAATTTGGAGAATATTCGGCTTTACAGATTTTATATAGAATTTATAACTATAATACAGATAAATATAATTAAAATTAATTCGGTTAATCGTATTTTTTTTTTCTATTTTAAATTAACGGCCTTTAAGATCACCACTTAACGAGGCTTTTGCAATCAGCGTAATTTTTTAAAAGGAATATTTCTCATCTCCTTATAACTTAAAGTTTTTGAAGAGTGCGATAGCAGTATCGAATAATTTTTAAATTATTGTAGTTATGACAATGCTTCCTATGGGTCAGGTTTGGATCCATGAGACGGTGTACGGGGGTTAAACAATACCATAGCTCTCGAAGAGCCGAGAAGCTCAATACGAATGTATTGCTAATGTGTGAATACTAAATTTGATTGTTCCTATGATTCATAAATACGCAAAGACATTTTCTATTTGGACATAAAACGTAGCTACAGTTTCATTATCTCAATTTCGCTTTTATAGGCTTTACATAATGTATGCACAGTTCTACAAACTTAATTGTTGCATTTGTACCTAAATGTATTTATCGATATATTGCGATTAGCGTCTGCTTTCCCTCCAAGTATGTCACGTTCTTTGGCCGAGATGGTTTGTAGATAATTAATTTTTAAATAAATATTTTGCCCATTCACACGTTATTTATTTTGTATTTTCTTGGTATATAATATTCGTCAATTGGATACTGTACAATAATGTCAATTTGTCTTTCGTGTTTAAAGAAAACTCATCTGTTTTTGTATTAATGACGAATAAATTAAAATTGTAACAAAAAAAAAGAAAAAAAAATGTAAAAAAAATGTCTTCGATCGTGATTTATTACCATAAATTTTTTGCGATTTATGTTCCATAATATTATTTTCATATTCAAATTTTTTCTTTGGAAAGCTGTTTGGTGCTTATTGTTATGTGATTACACGGATAATGATTGGAAAGACACGTAAATGATTAAGCTTACAAACTTCAAAATATTTCACAGCCTTTGAAATTCAGCGAATAAATATTTTTCCCATTAAATTATGAAGGGAAAGGGGGTGGCGGTGGGACAAAACTTGTTAAGTAATGCTTGTATACAACAATATGTGGATTTTACGAAAAAAAAATCTTGGCTTTGGATAATTTCAGCACTGTAATTTTCACTTTAAGAGAGCAACGATCTTTACTGGAAACTTTATAACATTTTAAAAATTTTATGTATCGTCAAGCGAAAACAGATTTTACTCATTTTACTATAAGCCCTTATTGGTTTTTTTTTTTAATTTATTTTTTTTTTTATTACATCATTCAAATAATGACAAATTAGTAGTAAATTTAATAACGTTGAAAAATTATTCAAGGCTCGTGACTAATAACTGACTTTATAGTAAATAATTGAAAAGAATAATTCATATAATTAAATTTCTCGTTGACGATATTTTCCATTGATTTTGGATATTTAAAATTGTTTGAGTCTCAATTTGTATCTGTCGAAACATTTGTACGATTCTAATAATTGAAAAAGTCCTTTGTCCGCGTATGTCTCGAAAAAAATATTTGACACGCGTTAGTGTCTAGCGTTTAGAACCCGCATAATGTCCATTAGCCTTCCCCTTTTAAAATAACACATAAAGGCAAAACCCGTCGGATTTCTAAATAGCTACGTAATTTCTGTGTATAACAACATTGGAGCTTTTCATAGTCGATCCAACCTTCCGATCACCGGAATTTCAGGCACTGCAAGGAAGCGATGCGATGAATTATGTTTTAAAATCTTCCGCCAACCGTTTCATCGCGTCATTTTTAAATATTTCGCTAATAAAGCAGAATGGCCAAGCTAATCGAATTATTCATTTAATATTGAAATTTGCCCTCGTTGTAGCGATCTTACAAATGTATAATAGCATTTCTTCATTACATCTACAAACATTTTTTTTTCTACTTAAAAAGTGTATAGTTTGAGAAAAATGCTACGAACGTAAAGAATAGATCCAATGCCATTAGTGATTCATCAGAACGTAATAATCAAATTAAAATATTGTTGCTTATCTGTAGCACGGAACTCTTCAGATGAATAGATGCAAATATTCACTTATTATACAAGTTAAAAACACACTTCTCGTCATATACGCACAATGGCTCATTGAAGAAGAAAAAAGAAGAAGAAGAAGAAGAAGAAGAAGAAGGAAAGTAGAAGAAGAAGGAAATAAATACTCCAATAAAGTCTATACGTCTTTGAGTAATTATTACGCAAAGATTCACTTTTCCTTATGTCCAATCGAACAAATGACTTAGATGTTTACACGTCTATAATTCCAGGCGATTAGCAAAATTCAACAGAATTGGATGCGGAGTTCGCTCAACCATTCGCATGTTAGTTTGCAATCCGTAAAGTGAGCATGGATGTGAAATGGCACGTATTTGATTTTTATATGTATTCGGTATAATAATACGTTCGGCTGATAATACAAGATAACTAGCTCCACATAATACTTTCGTTTATTCTTCACGATAAAAGCATATTTATACATTTATTTAAATCAGCATCTTACGTGGCTTCTAATAAACAACGCGGTATTATTTGTTCAAAATAACAATTTTCTTTAGTAAATCGTTGATGAAAATTGTATTTACTTAGGCAGTAGCAATTTTCTCCCTTATACAAAGCTTTATTTTCGCCTTATATATTTCATAATTTATCTTTTCACATTATTTACGTAATCGCAAGGCAAGAATAGACACATTAATCAGTTCCAGTGCCGTTTAAAAATTGGGCTTTTGTCTCCACATCTGCCACGTACGAGCGGCATAAAATGGGGCTGATATAGCTCGTCACCCCAACACGATTGTCCTATTTGCCTTTCGAATCCAATATCCAATACACAATGAGCATTTATACCAATTTTTTCACTATCTCGTCGTATTATATATAGTCGGACGACCGCTGCACTTTATTGCTTTCCAAAGAGGCGCCATTCCGAATTAAAATTTACTCATTACCGGCGATGAGCGATTTTCCTTAAAAATTGATTAAAAAAATTACCTTTTTGTTACTTTTCAATGATAAAATACTTTGTTAATATAATTCGACAATTGGTATATTAATTAACAAAATGTATTTTTAATGGCATAATAAATAACAATATAATTAACAACAATTATCTAGAAACGGGTAATTTGTAAGACAATATTACAAACACCACATAATTATCATCGTCAACGGCATAAAAAGTGTAAGCCATTGTTTTACGAGATCTATTGGCTAAAATTGAATAGATGGTCGTTGCAACGGTTTCTCGTTCGTTCGTATATTTATGCTTTTTGAATATAACGTATTGCCGACGCTTCAGTAATGTAACTCACACGCATAGACGAATAATAAATTTCTATTTAGTCAACTAAATATATCTTTTTTACAGTCTATTAGATAAATGCATGTGTGTTTGCAAAAGACATTGATAAAATGGCAATTAATGAAAAAAGATAAAAAGAAAGAAAAAAAAAAGAATGAAAAAGGAACTTAATTTGCATCTTAATCTGCATAAATTAACATTCGCTATCGTTATTTAAATTCGTTTATTTCCAATATTTTAATAAATTAATAATCTTCAAATGTATTTCGCATATTTCTACGTATCAGTGAAAATATTATGCAAAATAGTATTAATGCTCATACTAAGTAATAAAATATAATTTTAATAATAAAAAATAAATTCTTGCCAAAATGAAAGTAATTTTAATTGAAGAAAATGTTCTTGAAAAGAAAAGTAAATAATAAATTTCACACACACATATATATATATATATATATAACCAATCTTTTTTAATAAACTAATGTTAAATGTTATAACAAATTAGGTAGATAAATAAAATTTAATTTATTAATTAATTAATTGCTTATCGCTTGATAAGAAGTTTTGTAATATAATCAAATATTTCCAAATTACTCGAATATAATTTCATCGTTTAATTCATCGATAATAATTGCATTTAAGAAATTGCTTTAAGTAACCGTTAAGTATATACCAATACAAATGAAACGGTTTAGCAAGAATAGGCAGTTTTCTAGGAACTGAAAAAAATTAAATTCATTCTGCTTGGTATACATGTTCTTTTTCAATACAATTGCAACTATTAAGTTGAAAATTGTGAATTATGTTTTGTTTCTATAACGACACACATCCATATATAAATGAACAAATGTATGTGTGAATACCCATAAGCATTTTTACGTACAAATCGCTATGAAAAAAAAAAAAAAAAACAAAATTCGTTTTGCCCGAACTCGGAGCATAATTTGGAAAAGAGTCACAATAGTTGGTGATAAATTTTTCATATTAATGACTATTTTAATATTCATTAAATTATTCCGTAACTTTATTTTATTAATAATAAATTATTTACGTGTTATTTGAATTTTACTCTGCGCAATAATGCCAATGATTGTTCTCAATTACCTAACACGTAGCCATTCAAAAAATTTGCAGCTATTTACATTTTATAAAGAAATTGTATTCTCTGCGAGATATTTAGCTTATTCGAGCACCGATTTCTTTTGTTTTGAGCATTTAACTTGCAGTAATTTAGATTTAGTATGAATGTCAATGTTTTTAATGCCATTTAATAAATAATTTGTGTTATCTAAAGTAATGCATTATTCTGCTAAAGTTAACGCAATTTTATGACTGAACGTATGTGTTTGCGCTTGAAAAATTGCGTAGTAAATATCGTAAATAATTTTTAAACATTTGAAATCAATGTATTGAGAGAAGATAATTATATTCTAACATAAAAATATTGAAAATCGTTAAAGCCATTTCGAATAATCGAAATAGTAATGAATTTGTCGACATTCATATGTTTTTAAATAAAATAAGATGTATAACGTATAAAGTTACCATTCTACGTTAATTCTTTGACAATCAACCACCATAATTTTGAATAAGGACATATTAATAAGAAAAATTTGAACAAAGATATCATTAATAATAATAATAATATTAATAAATAAATAAATAATTGAATTTATTTTAATTGTATTTTAGCATTACAGAAGCAAACATAGTATAGGATGTAAAAAAATGTTGTGAAGATTTTATTTAAAGCTTTAACATATTTTTATTCGTTCGTAGGGTATAATGATTTATGAAAAATTTGCATTGGACCTAGAAACCAAAAATTATGACATTGGACATATAAAGACAATATAAATTAATAATTGATATTATGTATAACTGGTAATATGAGAGAGAAATTTCTAATCGAGTCTCATTAGTAATGTTTTTAACTGTTGGCGGTTGTGGGGTGGGGGCAAGGGGTCGCCGGCGTGCCATTTCCCCCATCGGATCTTTGTACGCACGTTTCCCCTAAATTTATTTTGTATTAAAATGAGCTACGGTTAAGTGTATGACCGCCACGAGCAGTGGTTTACAGATGCTATAATCGTATCTCAGGACCCGCCCAACATAAGTTTTTTTTTACTTTTCATCTTTGCATATATTATACCTAATTAACACTAAAGTAATGGAGCGATGTTAAAAGTCATAGTTTGTTAGACTTTATTTATTATTCATGGGTAATTTATTTTATTACATTGTAGCAATTGTTAACGCCATTATGCGTGTTATAATATAAGATAAAAAATTTCTATTATTGACTTTATTTGTCGGATAGTAAATATTAGTATAATAATAAATATAAGTATTGGTGAAGGTATGGATGAAGTTATGTACGGATAAAGGAGCGAAGTTCGATATTTCAGTTTTGTAAGTTAAGCACTTAATTAAGATAAACTAGTTACATGAATTAGCAAAATTATCTCACGTATCGCATAAACAATACTGCATAAAAAGAAAGTAAATACTTACCTATGAATATCTTTTTTAATAGATTGTTCATATTATTAAATAATCTTTCTTATTCTTTTCTTAAAGATTTTTTTAATATTTAATTTTCGCAACGAATGCCGATCGTTTATAAGAAGCATAAAAATCTGAAACTACTATCAAAAACAGTTTTGTAGTAAGTTTATTGTTCATATAATTTTTATGCGATGATTCATTAATTGCAATTTATTGCTTTCAATATATCATATTATGTGTTTATTTTAATGTGTTAATTGTACAATCCAATATGCGATTATGCAACTAGAACGGAACCAATTTCATTGGCCCTTAACATTTTTGATTACTTGAATTTTTTTTATAAGAGCTTTATTATATTGTAAATTTAAATAGTTTTTTTTTTCTTTTTTTTTTTTTTTATTTATTAATTTTTAATTGAAACAAATTAGCAAAAATATTGTCTAGACTTGGATCATCATTTAAAGCTCCTCAATATTTTGTAGATGACTGTAACTTCTTAATATGATATGTAATCTATAATTATGTTACCATTGTAAAATTTTGTAGAGATAGAACATAAATTTTTCCTGCGGATATCGTTAGTGGCTTTTGAGATCGCAAAATCATCAATGATATGCTACGAATCGATGATAAATTGACAGACGTCCAAGGAGATTGATAGGTAGCATATCCAACCTGTAAACTCTACATGCACATTCTTTAAGTAAACCTAATATTCCAGATAGAAATGCACGTTTAATACAGGCTCGTACCTCTGATATTAGTACATCGCCCGATTGGCAATATAATAAAATTTGTAATAGGGCGAGTCCCATAAACATTATGTAAATTAAACTTTCGTAACCACCATCTTCCAATGCCTGAAATTATCGAAACAAAGCATCTAATTTAAGAAAACGAAATATAAACTGAATCCTCACTATTATTAGTTTTAATCCGATGACGCAGATGATTACGCAGCTGATTAACAGCTGCTGCAAGCTCGAACCATTGAATATCACCTGAAGCATCTGCGAAATCCTTATTCAATTGGAATTATATTCAAAAGTTATATCGAGCAATATTATAGAGATGTATTATAATGTTCAACGATGTTCATATTGGTGTAGATAAAAAATATTCAAAATAACGTATACCTAATGTATTTTTGATGCTTTTTAATTAAGTTGTTGATTACATTGGCTGAGTTGCATCCCGCTGATACGAGTTCAGCCAAGTCGTGTTGAAGAATTTGGAGTTGAGCGCTATGATGATAAAGGCTAACTAGGAAAATACTGTCCATGGCAAAATTGGTTGTACCGACTACGGTTCCGCTCATTACCTACGTATAAATTAAGATGCATTTACCATTGCCGTATTTATAGAGCTTGTGAATAAATCATTTCCGACGTTTCAACGTTAGCAAAGTTATATTTCACACACACGCACACATTTCGCAGGTATATTTCACATATTTGCCTTGACGACTAAATCAGAGCTTAAAAGATGCCTGTTACGACGATCTTATTAAGGTTTCGGAATATTTATACGCCAATATCGAACAAAAATATTATTGCTTTATATCTTCTTCGAAACGAATATGCTTATATTTATTAAGTTTTCGTACGCTAATAAATACGTATTGCGACTTATTTAGATGCGTTCCTTCTTTTGACGATCGGCCGAATAGGAATTATTATGCATACCTGTGAAACGTAACAAATCCCGTAATTTAAATTGGAGAATCTGTCGAAATGGTACCACCCGAAGAAAGGATACTTCCTTATTCGCAAGTCGCCTGGCTGCATTCCAACAAATGGGGAAATGAAGTATAATAATGCTGTAACGTACATTATAAAAGCGTATTGTTTTGTATAATTGAAGGCACTGGACGCCATTTTTAAAAGTATCTCTCGGTGTTTTTCTTTAGCGGGATTTGACGTATCCATTGTCTCATTCCAATCTGACTTTAATGACATTAGGACATCCTTCGCAGCCAATATTAAAACAAAATAAATCAATATTATATCAATAAGAGTTCAGATTGCAAACTCTTATTCTAAATTTGATTTAACATGGATTATAATATATTTTTTTTCCATTCTGTTGGCAAATTTGACACCTTTAAAAATGTAGCATCAAAGTCTTTTTTGATCAAAAAGAAAATTGCACATAATTAATTTCTTTTCATTCTTTTAATTGCCGTATAATAATAATCAATAAATTTTTATATATATGTTTAATAATCAAATAAAAAAAATCAATAAATAATTGTGAATTAATGTTCTTTTCATTTATCGGAAAATAATAGGAAAGAAATAGGGTTTGTTGACTAGAGTCGCATAAACGTTATTTAAATTGAATATGTAAGTTATTGCGTAAAATTAACTAATATTTTTAATGTTTAAAAATATAGACATTGTAATTATGCGTAATAAAAGGATTTTTACTCTACAAAGTTTTTAAATTTTGATCGAATTTTCAGTTTGTATTCAATTAAAATTTTTCAAGTATGTCGTCATAATATTATATAGTTGACAAATAAAAAAGCATATTTTTTTATAATGAAGCCATGCATGCTTTACTTTATAATGTACTGAAATGTTTCGTGCATTTTATATTTATCGACAGTTAAAAATGTTAAAAAAGATATATTAGAATATGACTAACACCACTTTTTCTCCAATCAAGTTTGAATAAAAAAAGTAATTAAATAAACACACACATATGTATGTATATATATATATATATATATATATATATATATATATATATATTTCAGTGGAGAAAATAATGATAAGGATAATAATAACTATACTCGTTTATTCATTAAAAAGTGGTATTTCAAAAATATTTCAAAAACAAAATCCAGATGAATATTGATAAAACCGACAAGATTTTATGATTTTTAAGTAAAGTGTTAAAGTTAATGTAGAAATTGATGACCATTACCCCATTAGTCCTATCAAATTTAATAGTAAAAGAATTCTATAAAACGTCATTGTTAATAACATAAAACGGGCGTTAGTCGTCAAATTTTTATTCGGTTATTCAGAGGTAGAACTAACAGGGATTGTCAAGCTAATGACAAACCGAGCTTAATATTGAAAGAGTCAATTTTCATTTAGTTATTCGAATAATACTGGTGCATTAATGAAAAAAGCATGCAACAATCGCTTAATAAAATGCCTTACATTAAAAACATTAGCCGTGAGAATGCAGCACAATAGTTTGAGAATTGCGGTTATTGTGAATACATTAAGGACGACGGTCTCGGCGTTGGCATTTATGTTGCCCCAGAAGATATAGAGATCCAGCCACTGAGGAATAATTAGCAGTAGCATTAAGACGAAGAGGAAAGTTATGTGGAGCCGATGCAGGATCTTGGCAACTCCATGATCGAATCTGTTGTCGATCGTCCACATGCCTAAAAAAGTCAGTGCCCATCGATTAAGGAAGATGTAGTCGTCGAAATTCGTCGACGCGCCAAACTTCTGCATCTTTAATGTTGCGGAGCGTCTGTTCGAACGACGAGTTCGATCGCGAATGCTCCGGTCTTCAAAGAATCTTGGATTCTCTTTGTGCAAGGTATCTATTAAAGATAGAAAGTAGGCGGTGCTCTCTTGTCTTGAGGACGCTAGAGCTCAAGTACGGGAAATTGCTACCTTAGAGTAGGCGGCTTTGCAAGTAGCAATTAATATCGAGCACTGCGCGTAATTAATAGTGGAACGGATAACGGGGGTATCCGGGTAGGCGAGCGGTCGATGGAGCCGCGGGTTATTTCGAAAGCTGTTGGCGACATCGCCGGCAGGGGCGTTCGCCGCACCGTTGAGGTTATGTCTCACAATGGGAGGCTCGCGACTCGCGGGGTCCGACGCTTCCATTGGCCACGGACGTATCCGTGAAGAGCCGGTCATCCCTCGCGGTCGAGAAGGACGCCGGTAGTCGTGCCTCCACGGCACTTCCGCTCGGGCGACAAATGGCCAGGGCCGTTCCGAACCCTTACATGAAAAGCCTCTAGGTCGACCGCCAAGGCGTCATCGAGATACATCAAGAATCGAGGCTCGCGGATTTGTCGCCATTTTGCCATTAACATTGTATAGGGCGCGCGCGCTGCCAAGAGCAAGCGAGCGTGAGCGAGAGAACGTGTGAGAGAGAGAGAGAGAGAGAGAGAGAGAGAGAGAGAGAGAGAGAGAGAGAGAGAGAGAGAGAGAGAGAGAGAGAGAGAGAGAGAGAGAGAGAGAGAGAGAGAGAGAGAGAGAGAGAGAGAGAGAGAGAGAGAGAGAGAGAGAGAGAGAGAGAGATTGATAGAGAGATAGAGAGAACGTAAGAGTGTGTGTGTGAGAGAGAGAGAGAGAGAGAGAGAGAGAAAGCGTGAAAGATAGTAAGAGCGAGCGAGTGAGAGGGTGGGAGAGCGAGCGAGAGAGGGAAGGAGCGGCAAAGACTGGAGGAGTGAAGTTAGCGGTAGAGAGCGGCTGGCGCGCCATAGAGAGAAGTTCGGCTTCCCGAGGTCTAGTCGCGCGCTCGACGATAAGCTCGTACGAGCCACGCATAAATAAATACGGACGCGAACGCGGAGTGGTGCGCGGCCGTTGCGGCACTCGACATCATTCCATCCTCCATCTAAACGCGCTGAGAGAGCGACGCCACACGAAAGTAGCGATACGGGAGGGAGGGAGTGACGGTTGCAGGAGAGTGTCGAGCAGGAGCAACAGCGGCAACAGTAGCGGCAAGCCGAAGGTTGCAAAAGTAGCAGCGGGGCCCTCGGAGCGGTTCGTACCGCCCTCGTCGTCGTCGCCGCTGCCACCGCTGCCGTTGCCACTGCAGCCACCACCACCGCCGCCGCTGTCTTCGTCGTCGTCCTCGTCCTCGTCGTCGTCGTCGTCACCGCTGCTGCCGCAACCGTCGTCGTCGCCGTCGCAACCGTCGTCGTCGCCGTCGCCGTCGTCGTCGTCGTCGTCGTCGTCGTCGCCGTCGCCGTCGTCGTCGTCAACAACGTCACGTCAACATCAACGTCAACACTAACAGCAACACCGACACCGAACCAACACCAACACCAAAACAGCATCAACATCAACATCAACGTCAAGCTTAACATCCCGATCTCGGCGCCCGCCCGCACGGTGTGGCACCTGTTTACCTCCCTCTCCCAGAGTCCGCATCACACAGGGAATGATTATCAAGTAGATAGTGCACGAGCGACAATAATCCGGCAACAACCAGCATCCCAAGGGACATCTATAAAAGTGTGTATCGAGGAAGAAAGCTGACACGCGACGACTGTGTTTGTGAGAGTGCGGGAAGAGGAAGTAGCGGTAGCTTGGCGGTAGCAGGGAGGAGGCGGTGAAGAGGATCCGCAACAAGGAGACCAGCACTCCTTCAATTCCTGACAGGTCAGTGCTTCTTTGCTGTTGATGAGTTTGTTTCTGTGCGACGAAGGCGTTCGTGTGTGCACTGGACAGCGTAGGAGACCCGCCTGTCTTGCTGTCGTGAGTGGCACGGCTGGGGAGTGACGGCGGAGACAGGGGAGTTAGGATAAGGAAGAGGTGGGGAATGGGCGAGGAGGGGGCGGTAGGAGATGCGTTTCGCGATGCGTGCTCACGATGATCTTTAGATATGGCGGGAGCGAACCGATCGCTAATGCCGCCGTTGTACCGTGAGTTCGATCACTCCACTACGATCCTTTCGTTCGTGTTTATTAATGTACCGGGAGTGCAGTGAACTCCTGCTGGGCGGATTGTTAGGCCGTGCGTTTCGTTCGACCGAATGCGCTGACCCCTCCTTCCCCCGTTCAAAAACGTTGCCGCGCCTTTTACCCCTCGTCGCCCTCGTGCTCCATCACCATCTCGTTGGCTCTCTCTCTCTCTATCTCTCTCTCTATGTATGTATATATATATATATATATATATATCCTTTACCTCTCCTTCTCTCCTCCTTTCTCTCATTCTCTCGAACCAACGTTTCCAAAGCCAAGTTCATGGCTGGCCTTCGATGCGGCGAAGGACTCTGCCGTCCCTCTCTCTCGTTCTCTCGTTCTCTCGCTCATTCTCTTGGCTTTCGTGCTTTCTAGAATTCCTTGGGTTTTGGCTGGTGCGCGCGCGCGCGCGCATCCGGGGAACCCTTGTGCAAGCGACGCGCGCACTCCCAGCCCGCGAAAACTTTCCGTGGCTCTTGACCCTTTTTCGGACGGTCGCTGGAGAAGAAGAAAGACGAAGACGAAATGCGGTGGCGTTGATCGATTGCGCGTGCGGAGAACAAAAGCGGATCGAGGAGATATTTATAGGGTAGAGGAACTGCCACGCGCAATTTCGTTACCGCGTATGCGTTATCACGGGACGGTCCTTCTTCCCCCCCCCCCAATCCACCACCCCCTCATCCGATTGCCCCGTATCTTTCACTCTTGGGGACATTGTACACCTTTTGACGACGATTGATTTAAAAAAGATACGAGGAGCGCGAAGCCATGGCCCGGCTTGGAATGGCAATGGAGTGTTGTCAATCGGCGTAGGCATTCAGCGACTTTTACGAATGGGTCGCACGCTCCGAGGATTCCCCATGCAAAGTAAATATAAACATCGGGCCCTCTACGCCGAAAGTTCCTCGTCGATCGCATAATAACCGAAGAATTCGACCGGAAGCGGTTGCTTTCTCTGGTTGAAAGCGGACAGCGATTATCGGCGGTGGAGCTGATTTCGCAATGGATTGCGCACTACCGGAGTCCCGACCGCATGGAAAACGCGATATAAAATCAGCAGTAAGGATAAGTGAAAGGGTCTCGATTACGGGGTCCCCTCGCGTTACACATGCGCCATCGCCGTGGACGGAAGTGAGAGAGATGATGCCTAAAGGTGGGGCAGATAAATGAATAGTATTCCAGAAGCGTCCCTCTCTACGCCAAATGCTCCTCTCCACTTTTCGTTATTTTCTACCGTGCGTGCGTGCGTGCGGGCGCGCGCGCATCTGGCTTTTTGTGTGCGTGCGTGCGTGTGTGTGTGTGCGGGCGCGCGCGCTCCTGTGTCCGTATACACGCTCGATCGAGTGATTTACGAGCGCGTGGCTCGGCGAGCGAGCTGAAAAGTTGATTCTTTGTGAACTTTTAAACTGATCCAATCGTATTTAAAACTTTTTTCGCCTTTCATCCAATCGTGTTTATAACTGTCTTTCAAATACTTTACCAAGAGTGCAACTTTTATTGGTTTTGCGTATACGAATTTCTTCAAACTCGATAATCGAAAGTTCCAAACTTCTTCGAGCCCTCGCCGCCCTCGTTTTTTCCTTCCTTTTGCAACCTACGCCAATTCTAATTTTATATTTTGATTGGTTTCTCCTTAATCCATCGATATATTTGGATTATTCGACATAATGGATAACTAGGGTGGATAGGTGGTTGGCTGTGTTATATTTTGAGAGAGAGAGAGAGAGAGAGGGAGAGAGCATATTTTGTTTAATTATGCTTATTTCTTGAATAGTATATCGAATTGTCAAAGAAAAGAAAAGAAGCAACAATAACGAAAAACAAATAAAATAAATAAATAAATCAATTGTATGCAACTTTAAAACTGATTCTTTAAAAATGAACGCTTTATCCTTGACTTCAAATATATTCACAGTGTTAGATAAGTTAGTGATTTGAGAAAACTTTGAAACACTTTTCAAGAGGATAAGATGTTCACGGCAACTTGAGGGATACGAATGACACTGGAGAATTGTGTAAGGCTGTTATGTATGACGTAGGACATTAGCTTTATCTAGTAATTGCAGAAAAGTTCTACGTACGCAGTTTATGAGTCTTGGTTGTACGGAATCAATCAAATCAACAAATACATGGAAACTTTCACTTGACATAGTTTTTCGATTCTCGTAGGACGTTTTGACTCTCATCGACATTTCTTCCTGCTTGAAGTAACGAAAAAATATTTAATTGTTCTCGTTGGGATAAGCATTATTGGAATAACTTTCGACAGATGTTGTCAGTTGATTATGTCAGCCTGAGGCCTATTGCCATCTCACCTTTAAAGTTCACTATTATTATTACAAATCAGCACATTAAGGAAAAAAGCTGCGTGTCTCTATACCTACGACTGTACATAAAAATATTTTTTTTAAAACTTATTGAGTGTCGCTCACTACTTTGTGTATGCTTCAATTGTAAATAATCTGAATAAGAATATGCTCATTTGAATAATACAAAAATAGATGCAATAAATGTTGTAATAACGTAGAAAAAAATTTTTTTGTCTCGGCTTAGCGTAAAATGCTTCGATGATGCAAACTTTAAATTTAGTTAATTGATATTGTTTATAGGTATTCATTGTTTACATATCCAAATATAAATTTACATAATGGCGTGCGCGCGCGTAATAACGAATCCTTTTACGTTTTGATAAAACACGATGTCCTATAGAATTGATTATATATAGGACAAGGACAGCGAACCAAGTGTCCGGCAGGCGTTACCCGTGCTTACGTATTTATTAGTTCTAAGTGACCAAGAGAGTCGCTGCCAATGACGTATTCTCTTAGACGCTTTAAGAATAAATAAATAAATAAATAATCCTATTAATTAAAAATGTAATGGAAAAACAAAAACAAGGACACAATTAGTTTATAATTCTCTGTATTATATTTATCTGTTAAAAGATCTCAGATTCGTATTATATTTTAGTTTCATATTATTTGATGAATTTGTCGGATTACAGTGTTAATATATCACACTGTGTAGATTTGAAAATGTAAAACTAGAATTATTGGAAGTGTTTTAAAAAACAAAGTTAACATAAAACTTGACATTATCAATATGGTAAATGGATACGTACGCCCACAAATAATATTAATTTTTCGTAAATGGTAAAATTAGACGGAGCGCGTAGTTGTAATTGAAATAACGTCTGAATTGGACAAGATCATAGTAATTCCTTATTGAAATTATCCTAAGCGGTTACTCAACGTTTCATCAACATCATTATTTAGCATTTCTCTTGCTCTCTCTCTCTCTCTCTCTCTCTCTCTCTCTCTCTCTCTCGATGTCTCACTCCCTTACCCACAATGTTTCATATGTCCGAGGTAATTAATTATTCAAAATTTAATGCACCATTCTCACACTGTTTGAAATTAGCGAACTAGTGCGAGCGCGCAATCTA